TTCAAACCACGACACTGCCACTGCTCTATTACTCCCCTTCTGTCACAGCTTCATCAGGATCCCATGACCTAGGAAACAAAAGGCTATGTTTTGCAGCGGTCTGTTTCCAGGACTCACTGTCACTTTTCATGCAGATCCAAGGCAGTCCTTCCCTACTGAGCATAAAGATTGTTCTTCTGTAGGTTCCATGCATAGTATACTAACTTGCAAACTGAGTTCACCAGGAACTTCAGTCCCCAAGCATTCTCAATAAAACTGAACTCAATTGAAAATCCAACAAAAATTGACACATTAAGTTCCAAAGCTTTGTCAGAGTGGTGGGACACATATCATTAAGCAGGCAAAGCAACTACTTACTATCTAGTCACCACTAAGATTTCTACTGAAAAAGTTGTACTGGAAGTTACTCAGGCCTGTATACACATCTCTGCAGAGTTGCTCCCACACAATGCTTTGCAGGTGCCATGCGTGCTAGGCCTGCTTCCTTTCCAGCATCTTCTTGTACACAGGACAGGATAAAAGGGAACATCCTAGCCCAGTTGGCAGGCCTCACATCAATCCACCATTGAGCAAGAATGCACAAACAAACAAACAAATAAACAAACAAACAATAAAATAAGATTGCACAAACCTTCCAACAATTTTTCTTTAGAAGCCAAACGACTCAGGAGTGGGAAACACTATGTTACTCAGAAGAGCAAGGACAACACGGTTCTGATCAAACACATCACCAATGATTGACTGGAACTTACCAGGTAAATCAGGGACAAACAAGCCCACCACTCTGTCCCTATAGACATTTAAGTTCTACTGCCTCCTCTGCTTCTCATGCCAACCACAGTCTGTCAAAAGAAGTGTCTGAGAATCTCTGAGACCTCTCAGGTGGAACAAGAGCCTGTTCAACAAACACTTACTGAGCACCTAAGAGGTTACTCTTCGTGAATAGAAGTTTTAAGGAGGTAGAGTTGGACACAGTATCATGAAGGAAGGTGTTTAAAACAATCAGAGTTGCCTAAAATTAGAACAGCCAGGCTAGGGAGAGAGCCAGTGGAAGTATTCAAGCAACAGACTAGAGGGCTGCTGGTTGACATTCTGTCAATGGGCTCATGCTGCATGAGTAAATGGGTTCAGTTTGACTCTGGGGCTGACCCTATAGCACCCATTTGACAGTCCTTGTGGGTCTCTGAGTTGGTTTCCCCCAGAGAATGACTCAAATCTCCTCAACAGTTCCAGGACAGATACACAGCCCCTTCAAAGCATTCAAAGAAGAGCATCTCAGCCACTCATGTGCATACCAATAACATGGCAATTTGTTAAAATGCCGATACAAATATAGAGAGCCTGGTATGAGGCTCTAATGTCTGCATTTCTTTTAAAAATCTTTTTAAAAAAATTGATTTTAGAGAGAGAGAGGAAGAGGGAGAGAGAGAGAAAAAAACAACAATATGAGAGCCAGTTGCCCCCCACACGCACCAGGGATAGAACTTACAACCTGGGAGTTGAACCAGCAACCTTTCAGTGTGCCGGACGATGCTCAACCAACTAAACCACACCGGCTAGGGCCCAATGTCTATATTTCTAACAAGCCACCTGGGAGTGCCCATGTTCCTGGTCTGAGAACTACACTTGGGAGTAGAAAAAAAAACTTCACTTATGAGGCAAGTGAGTTCGAATAGGGAATTTGGTCATGTGTCCACACAGCTCCAGTCCTCCATGTCACCCTATGAACTAGAATTAATGAGAGTCAGATGCCAGGACTGATATTAGATATACTCCTTGGAAAGTCCTAATTATTCAATAAATTCTGATTATCTCTGTAAGGGATAGATAGCATGAGATCAGTGATTATAGAATCTCTAGAAAACTGAAAAATCAAAATCTCAACAACATAAGCCAAAAAGGTAACCAATGGTTTGAGATTCATGTCAAACAACCTCAGGTTAGCTCCACAGGTTTTTCTGGTAGGTTCATAGAGACATCAATAATAGAAGATGGTAAAAATGTGTGCACCAGGTAAGGTAAGCATCTGTGGGAAACCCTGCCTAAAAAGCACACAGTCTTGGTGGCACAGGGCACATGCTCCACATGCGGGCACAGCTGGATCTGAGATAGCCCCAGGGGTCCTCACCACCTCAGAACGAATAGTCCCTCCCTCCCTGAATTACCTTGTTTGTACAGGAACCTCTGAGTCCTGTCAGATTCTGCCCTTACAGACATGTCAACTCTGCTGACACTATCCATGCTGTTTAGAATATCTTATTGTTACTTTATTGAAATTGGGCTCCATTAAGCCTTATCCTCCAGCAAATTCCGGTCTTCTCTCCTCAAGGATTGCCAATACTAGTATCTTCTCTCTACTTTGTTCCTTTGAGTAATACCACTGTCACATCATTTTTAATGTAGATATTCTGACTCTGGAACTGACTTTAAGGTACTAGAACAGTGGTTCTTAACCTTAGCTGCACATTAGAATCACCTGGGAATTTTTTTAAAAATCCTGATTTCTGGGCCTCATCCTCTAGAAATTCTGTGTCTTTGTTATGGGGTAAGGCCACAACATTAGTAACAAAGAAAATTTCCAGAGGATGAGGCCCAGAAATCAGGATTTTGAAAAGATTCCCAGGTGATTCTAATGTGCAGCCAAGGTTGAGAACCACTGTACTAGAAGGATGAATCCGCATTCCTTCTCTACTGCCTAAATCAAGTGTTCATACGTTTAAGCACAATTTGCTTTAGAAGAGTTGAAAAATACCAACAAACATTTACAGAAAAGATATCGTTGAAACTTGCTCACTCATCATATCAAACTCTTCTATACTCACACAACTATTGTTAGAGCTAAAAAAATACACTCAAAGTTGAAACCTAATTTGAGAAGCATTTAATAATTTTTTAAATAGGAGCTTTCATTTCTTTCATAAAAAATTACTAAAACTTTGTACAAAAATAATCTAAATATTACCATGACTATAATAAAATCACCCTGGTAACACCTTACATTATGACTAGTAGAAACACTGTGGTTTACCACTTCAGAGAGTACGCACCAGATAAATTGTCACAACAGCCAGAGAGTTATAAGGATGTTTAAAAAAAAACCCTACAAAAAACCACATACATTTCTTTTTTTTTTCTTAAACAAAAACCACATTCACGTTTCTTAAAAAGAGAGATCACAAAAGTTTACAATTGTCATGGTGATACATACTAAAAACAAAAGGTCCCAGAAAAGCCACACCCCAAATTAAAAGTTCAGAATGAAATCTTGTCTCATTACTAGCAATCGGCTGGACCCTAGCAGCAAGCTAACCTACCAGTTGGAGCGTCTTCCCCCTGGTGGTCAGTGCACATCATGGCGAGCGGGTGAGTGGCCTTAGCATCACATTAGCATATTACATTTGATTGGTTGAATGGCTGACAGGAGGACCAGACACTTAGCATATTAGGCTTTTATTATATAGGATTCATAGAATTAATACTGCACAACTATAAACTCAAATGAATATTTTAGCACTTAAAAAAGCCTATTACCGAAATGCATCCCAAAACACAAGAAACTGTAACCATCAAAATATACTAGTTTAAAAAATGGTTTTATACTAACTTAGAAGAAAAACAGACTGTATTCTACTAGTACTATTGTCCCAAACATTTTGTTCTAGAATACCCAGATTCCTAGACTTTCAATTTATATGAAACATGTCCTGGAAATTTTTATTAATTAAAATTTTGATCAATCAAAAATTAATTTAACTCATTTTGGGAAGTAACTTTGAAAGGAAACTTAGTATGACTCCTTCTCTAGGGAGGGAAGGAGAATAACGGGCCTATGACCCCTGGATGTCTCTCCTATGTGACATGGACACTGCTGAGCAGAGTCAGCTCATAGACATCCTCTCAGCAGTGGGTGAGCTGGACTTAAAGGAAAAGCACCTGGGTTATCACCGGTGCTCCACTCCCTGGCACTTAGGAACATGAGCTTTTCCACCTTTCCTTGTACCACTCGCAAACTAGAAAGAAAAGCAGCACATTCTCCAGGTAGCAGTGGGGTCTTGAGGAAGATGATCAAGAATGAGAGGAATGAACATGTAACCACAAACAAGGGAGGGTGGCAAGATGGCACAGACAAGATGGAGGACCAGAAAGACTGTGCTGTGCTCAAAGTCACAGGGAGAAGCTCCAGCCAAAGAGGTAACATGATATTGAAAAGCACGTCTTATCTGTCCAAACTGAGGGACACACCCAAGACCACTGTTTTACCTCTAAAATGACAGGAAAGGGCTTGAAACTGGGAAGAGATGCTCATCTTTTCACTGCTCTGATGGCTACAGGGAAGCCCTGGGAGTCCCACACAAGCCTCCTGAACTGGGATCACTGCTTAAACAGTCAATCAGCTAAAGGCTACACAGATGACTCCAAAGACAACAAAGCAATGGAAATGATCAGAATGCAGCCAGTCTGGGGCAGAGACTCTCAATCTGTGCTGAATAAATTGTAAGTTATGCTAATAGGACTGGGAGCTGCAGCTCCATGGGGGATGGAAACCTCTCAAATGTCTACATGTGGGATTCTATACTGACCTGGCCTGACTGACTTATCTATGACTTTGGGGTAAGAGGTTTCCAATTCCAAAAGAAGTGTCCTTCTATTTTCCCTGTTCCACCCCCAAAGTCACTGCAATTAGTGACACAACATTCAAATCCTCAGATACTGAGTATCTTTCAAGAAATAGGAAGAGTAGGTCACTTTGGTGATAATCCTTTCCCATTCCTGCCAATTCTGGTACAGGGGGGTGGAGGTGGCAGAGAATTAAATTCCAAAACAACCACATCCACTGAGCACAATGAGACTGTCTACTCACTAAGCTTGCTTCATCCTTTGTCACTGTATGTCTCCACTCACTACTATACTTTGTGGTTAATAATTTCTGCCCTGCTTCCTACCTATGTTTCTGTATTCTCTTCAGAAATATCTCATTTTCTCATCTCCAAGCTTCTCTACCCCCAATGCTCACTTACTTTGTTGGTTTCGCTTGTCACTGGCATTTTTCAAAGGGAGGCAAACAGGACAGTCATGTCGTGTGCAGTTCTTCCAATGAGAGATGATTTGTCGTGAAGATGCACAATGGGCAACTATGACCAGAAAAACAACGAGATGTTATTTTTCTATCCAAATCGTCACACTTTCAAATACACCTAAATTATAATGCCAGGTTCCATAAGAAAATGGTAATAAGGTAACCATAACACAGTACAGGCAGTCCTCAACTTACAAACAGGCAGTTTTCCAAGAAGTTTGTAAGGCGACTGTTGAGAATTGCAAACAAAAACTTCCCATTGAAGCAATGTTATGAATGATGGTGATTAAGGTTCAGCCCACAAAACAAAAGCTATTTGACCTGAAGTACTAAACAAATGGAATGAAAGGTAGAATAAATAATTCTGCAAGGTCACTATTTAAAATGAAAATGTTATAGTATGTTTAAGGATGAAGCCATCTAAATACTCTTGTTAAAGAAATACAAATAGAGAAATGAGAAGTCTGCGGAGATTCTGAAGGGCCCCCCCTGGGCACTTTTCAAAGTACTTGAAAGGGTAATTAAACCTGGTTATTCTCAGTCTTTACCTTCACTTCCATATTAAAGAACTGATTTCTTTCTAAAGGTCTGGCATAACCCTCCTTCGGCTTCTCCATCAGTTTAAGGGTTATGCTGGGAACTCACAAATGTCATAAAGGGAGAGAGGGAGATCAGGTAGACCATCTCCCCAAGGTTTAGGAGCACAAGAGAGAAAAGGAAAGAGGATAAAGATTAGAGGAAAGTATAGCAGTTAGTAAGAAACACTTTCTTTGGTAGAATCAAGGGGTCCGCCATAGAAGAGGGCGAAGGGAGGCGCATGGTGTGTAAGTGACAGGAAGGGAGGAGGTGGCAGAGATGACATGGTGCACACAGTTCCCCAGGTCACGGATAGTCACCCAGGACAACTTCCTTGGTATCCTGATTAGCCTCAAGACGAAAGTATGGAGGAACAAGGCAGTGGCTTGACACACGAAATAGTTGCAAGAGACATTATTGAGAAAAGGGTTTGTACATGCATGTGTGTGTGCTACACTGCCCAAAAGAAAACAGTGCCCTTGACATTTATAATGAAGACTATGTTTAAGAAGTGACAAATATTTTCTGTGACAGAGGAAGGAGGTAAAGAACAAAAGCTGGGCACAGCCTCATCCAGTAGAAGGTCACAGAATATTATTATTAAACCAAATCACCTTTCTCCTCAGCAATTAAGTGTTCCAGTGGCATCTGACTGGATGGTGTGTAAAGACATAGATTGTAAGAAACTTGTAAGAAGAGAGCTGGCTACTAACAAGGACAAATTTCGTCCTAAGCTTTGCCAGTAGGATTTCAGAAAATGGCACTTACCTTGACAGGCTTTCCCAGCCTGACAGTGTGTCATGTGATTCAAAACATTTTTCATGGTTCGACAATGTGGGAGAGAGCAGGCCCGAACCTCTCCGTTTGCTTGTTCTCGTCTCTGACATTTATGAGCGTGAAGCAGTAGAACCAGCTGCTGCTGTATCAGTTTGCGTTTTTCAGGATCTGCAGTGGGGCCTGTTGCAATTGCTTGTGTGGGTACAATTCCCACTGATGTTTGCATCTGAGACTAAAATAAAACAAATTAATAAACATTTAATAAGCTTTTAGAGTTCCCATTCATGTTCATTAATTATTTTTCAAACTAATGTTAAAGTTGATGGATATTGGCCACAGAGGTAAAGCAGCTGGTGTGGTTCTCTTTAATTCATCAAAGACTTTAAGGAAGATAAAGAAGCAAAGAAATAAACCAACTGAGAAACAAGGCTGATTAAAGTTCACTGTGTATGACTGTCTCAGAGCAAGAAAATGCTGCTTATTCTTAAATGTAGTAACCAAAACCCAACTCACTCTGTCACAATATTTACAAGAGCAGGAAAAGCTGTGTTACTATCTTAGGTTAAACCATATGAAACTGTTGTTTTTGTAGTCCAAAATAGCCAAACATTGGCAATTTCATATGGTTCAACTTAATTGAAAAATATCTGATGCAGCAGAAGAATCAGAGCCACCCTCTGGATTTCATTATCTTGTGACCAGAAGGACAATACTTTCAGTATTCATTACCTGTCCTAAAAGAATAATACAAAATTATCCTTAATACGACATCTAGTACAATTGCTAATGCTTATGAAATTCTTTTCCTTCCATTAAAATTCCACTCAGATATCAGGACAGTATTTTCAAAAAGCATTTGACAACCTGTTAGATATAGAAATAAGAGTTTAGTTGCTTTCATCCTTAAAAAATAACAAGCCAGACTGACTGTACCTCTTAACTGCAAAGAAAATGGAAAAGGTGAGCCATGCAGTCTTCTTATTCTTAGAAACTACCAACATTCTTTAGACAACTCTAGTATTCTGACACTAACATTCCCAACTTGATTTTATAACACTCTCTGCCTCCCCTTAAAGTACACCATTACTCTGCCTTTTCAAATTAAGAATCTGAAATTGTTGCTCAATGAAATAAAAGGGTTGTATGAACTCTAAGTGGCCTGAAATCCATGTTAGAAGCATCCTTAGACTCTAAAAACTTCCCTGCTTAGTCCTCATTGCCCAGGTGGGGATCGGGAATAGACAAAAAGTGCTAAGATAAGAACTTCCCTTTAAAAACACAGAACCAGCCCTAACTGTTTTGGCTCAGCGGACAGAGCGTCGGCCTACAGACTGAAGATCCCAGGTTTGATTCCGGTCAAGGGCATGAACCTTGGTTGCAGGCACAGCTCCAGCAGGGGGTGTGCAGGAGGCAGCTGATCAATGTTTCTCTCTCATCGATGTTTCTAACTCTCTATCCCTCTCCCTTCCTCTCTGTAAAAAATCAATAAAATATATTTAAAAAATAAAATAAAAACACAGAACCAAAATTGTGATGTTGTAAATACCCCCAAAAGTAGAGCATAAATTTTATGCAATTTTGTTTAAAAAATAAGAATAAAGGGACAAATCTCTCTTACCAGCAACCAAAACTACAAAACTACAGATTTCTTTACATATATCTAGAAAAAGAAACTTGTTCATCAATTCCAATGTCACCTGAAAACACAAAAGTAAATTCCAGACGAATTAGGGTGTGTAAAAATAGGTTAAAATAGATAAAATTAGAAAAAATAAAGAATATTTTTAGAATGAGGGTAAAAAAACTTAAAAAGACATAAAATTAAGGTTTAAAAAGAGAAAAATTGTTACTTTTGAAAAGTGGAAACTGAGTCCAAAGTTAGGACCATTCTTAAAGCTCCTATATACAGGGTGGAGCAAAAGTAGACTTACAGTTTTGAGTACACAAAACAGAGTTTCTTCTTCTTCTTCTTTTTTTAAACCCTCACCTGAGGATATGCTTTTATTCATTTTAGAGAGGAAGGGAGAGAGAGAGAAAAACAATGATGTGAGAGAGGGCAACATCAATTGGTTACCTCCTGTACACACCTGACAGGGGAGCAAAACTGCAACCTAGGTATGTGCCTTCACGAGGAACTGAATCCACAACCTTTTTTGGTATATAAGACAATGGCTCCAACCAACTGAGCCACCTGGCCAGGGCAGTTTATTCTTATATTATTTTCCATAGAAAGAACTGTAAACCTACTTTTGCCTCACCCTGTAAGTTATGTTGCCAAATTCTTTTCCAGAAAGGTGGCAGCATTTATTATATAAACTGTCCTATATCTCAGTTTCAAGAAAACTCAATGGAGAGAATAGTTTTTTTCAGTTAATGGTGATGAAAAAAACAGGACAACTGGATATCCACATGTAAAAAAATGACGATGAAATCCTTCTTCACATCAAACTCAAAAATTAATTCAAAATTAATAAAAGACCTAAATGTGAGAGCTAAAACTATAAAACGCTTAGAAAAAGATCATAAGAATAAATCATATGACCCTGGAATAGGTAATGGATTCTCAGATATGTTACCAAAAGCCTAAACAACAAAAATAAATTAACCTTGTTAAAATTAAAAATTGTGCCCTGGCCAGTGTGGCTCATCCAATGTTGCTGGTTCTATTCCCAATCAGGACATAAGACCGGTTTTGAGCTTGATTCCAAGTTGGAGGCATGCAGGAAGCAGCCGATGGACATTTTACTCTCACGTGGATGTTTTTTGTTTTTTCTCTCTCTCGCCCCCTCTCCCTTCCTCTCTGTCTAAAAAAATCAATTTAAAAACATTTAAAAATAATTAAAAATTGCTTGTGTCAGGGAGGACACTATGTAGAAAATGAAAGACAACCCAAAGAGAGAAAATATTTGCAAATCATAGATGTAACAAGGAACTTATATCTAAAACATACAAAGAACTCATATAGCTCAATGATAAAAAGACAAATAATCTAATTAAAAAATGGACAAAAGATGAGACTAGATACTCAACACCATTAGCCATTAAGAAAATGCAAATCAGAACCACAACGAGATACCACTTTGCACCCACCAGGATGGCTAGAATTAAAAGAAAGACAGTAACAAGTTTTGGTGAACATGTGAAAAAACTGAAACCCTCATCCACTGCTGGAATGTCAAATTGAGAAGCCACTTTAGAAAACAGTCTGGTAGTTCATCAAAAGGTTACACCTTGAGTTACCATATGACCCAGCAATTACCCTCCGAAGTATACACCCGAAGTAACTGAAAACATATGTTTACACAAAAACATGTACACAGGGTCAGAAAGAGATGTGACAACAAATGAAGGATGAGAGAGATGTGACGTTGCTGTCTTTGAAGATAGATGAAGGGAAAGAACTCTAAGCCAAGGTAAAATAAGAAGCCTCTGGAATCTGGAAAAGGATTCTCCCCTAGAGCCTGTGACGCCTTGATTTTAAGAGTATAGGACTTTGCCTAGCCAATGAAGCTCACTGGTTGAACTTATACCTATGAACCAAGAGGTCACAGTTTGATTCCTGGTCAGGGCACACGCCCACGTTGCAGGCTGAATCTCCAGTAGGGGCATGCAGGAAGCAGCTGATCAATTATTCTCTCTCATCATTGATGTTTCTCTTTCTCCCTCTCCCTTCCTCTTGAAATCAATAAAAATATATTTTTTAAATAGAGTATAGGACTTTTAATTTACAGAACTGTAATCTAATCAATATATCTTCTTTTAAACCACTAAAATTGTGGTAATTTGTTAAAGCAACAGTAGAAAACTTATACAGTATTTCTTATAAAGACTATGACTCCCAATGCTCTATACTCTTCCTGTGCTGAATTCTTCTTCATAGCCCCCAAAATATCTGCTATTTTGCTACATATTTGCTATTATTTGATGTCTGTCCCCAGTAAGTTACAAAAGGCAGAGTTTGTCTGCTGTATCCACAGTACCTAGAGATGTACCTGAAAAGGACACACAAAACAAACAAAAACGTGTACACAAATGTTTGTAGCAGCATTATTCATAACTAGAGGCCCGGTGCACAAAAATTTGTGCACTATAGGGTCTCTAGCAGCTGCCGGCTGCTGGCCAGGTACTTCCTCCCTTTCCCTAGCTGGCCCCACCCCC